TCTTTAGATGTCAGTATGAAACAAGCAAATCACTTTCAAGACATGGCTTACTATTTGCTTTACTGTCAGGACAACAGAAAAAGAAGTGGACAGCTACCCTAGATTCTAGCTCACACATAATTCAGCCAGATAATCATCATTTAAATAATACCCCTTGAAATTTCTCAGACTTTTCACAGCTCTAAAAACACAACATCAGACATAACATCACACATTTGTTCCAAAGGACTAAAAATCAAAAGCAATTGCAAAGTATTGGGAATCACTTTTATGGCTTTCCTAAGGGACAGTCCCCATCTTTCCCGGGAGTGTTTCTAAAGAAGCACTAACTCTGGTAGGTTATCAAACTATTTTTTATTCTAAATAAATAAAAGACTAACTGAAGGTCTCAGGTGTACTTATTTTTCTTCCCCCAGATCTTCGAACCATCCAAAACCATTTATTGACAGAGAGCTTTCATTTTTATTAGAGCAGTGCAAGATAACGTACAAACATTTGAAAAATACTCAAAATACTGAGAATGAAGGAGGCCCAACCCTTCCTCAGAGCCCAGAAAACTGACAGGAACCCCAAAGGCTTATCTTAAATCCATCAACTCAATTTGCCAGAAAGCGCTGACAGACCACCCACCTTTGCAACACAGGCCCAGGATTCCTGCACTTACAACCACTAAGAAAAGCCTTCTGGGAGAAGAAAAGCACAGACTGGTGAACATAAGTTACTGAAAAAGGGTTGACTGCATTCTATATCTGGCACAGGAAAAGAAAAATTCAAACAGCTGTGAAACCATTATATTTACACCACAATACTCTTACATGAACCTTGACTTTCCTACAGCAAGTTTCATTCATAAAAAATACATAAAAGATTGGAAAGCTTTGGGGTAGCACCAGTGACAGCTAGCTGTCATTGAATAGTTTTAATTTTTTCCTAGAGGCAAAATTTAGAGAAAATTTAAAGAAGCAATTTATAGAACTGATTCTATTTCATGATTTTGCCTTTGTCAGCTGCTATGGAAATGGTGCAAGCAGAAATATAAATATCCATTCTGAAGCAAGTAAGTTTCTATTTCTTTTTTCTCAAAGGGTAGAAGTGGTACCTCTCAATTTTTGTAAGGCGTCTGAGGATTAAGGGCAGCTCATCGCTCATGACTTGACAATCTCTAAAGGAGCTCCTGGACTTTTTCACCACGAGGATAGACGGAGCCACTCCTATCCACAACTCATAGCAAGGATCTCTACGCATCTAGATTTTAATGCCAACGGTTTCTTGGCTTCCTGACTTGACATGCACCATGCACAATGCACAAAGAGCAAGGTACTGACTGGTCTAAAGCCACTCTCCCTGGACACTGCTAACTCTGGCTAATCATCTCACAGACATCCTGCCTCTGATCATAAGATGGTCTCTGGAAGGAAGCATAAACACTTCCCAAATACTAGAGCAGACAGCCCAAAGTACAAGTTCTACTAATGGGAGAGTAAAAGACTCACCTCTGTATACAAAGAATGGCACATGAAATTGTTTTGAGCATAAAACCGTATCTCCCCTTTCTTAGTCACTTGTTATTATCTAACAAAGGTAGATACTTTTGAGAAGACCTCACCAACTACCTAAGTATGTCCTGTGAATTGTCTTGAAAACATATTCCCACGTTTAAAGATTACTTTGAAGAGCCAAAGTTGAATGTTCAAAAATAAATACTATTCTTACCAAGTTTCCCAAGCCCAAATCCCTGGAGAATACTAGAAACCAGTTTTGTTGGTTTCTAGTATTTCAGTATTCAGTATTTCAGCTGCACTGAGCTCCCCTCAGGTGAGCTGGTGGGAGTTTGCGGACTCCATTACTTTCCTCATTTTCTTTTCTTCTCCTGAGGAAGCCTTCAGTTATTTCCATAGCAACTTGTGATAATGTCCTAAATGATCACATTTTTTGAGTAGCACATATACTATTGGGACCTATTTTTTCTTTCTTTTCAACAATATCTTCAATAATAAAGGGGGCTGGGCGGGGTAGCTCACGCCTGTAATCCCAGCACTTTGGGAGGCCGAGGTGGGTGGATCACCTGATGTCAGGAGTTCGAGACCAGCCTGGCTAACATGGTGAAACCCCTTCTCTACTAAAAATAAAAAAAATCAGTCAGCCATGGTGGCTGACTCAGTTACTCAGGAGGCTGAGGCAGGAGAATCGCTTGAACCTGGGAGGTGGAGGTTGCAGTGAGCTGAGATTGTGCCACTGCACTCCAGCCTGGGCAACAAGAGCGAAACTCTGTCACCAAAAAAAAAAAAGAAATTAGCATTTACTGTAATGCCTGAAACATGGCCAATTCACGTTGGCTTTTATTTTAGTATCTACATGTATATGCCATATATGTGTATCTATAAACCAAATATGTAATTATAAACCAAATATGTATTTATAAACCAACTTTATGTATTTACCAGATAAATATGAAACCAGAATATGTACTTATAATACAGACAAAATTTATGCATAAACAGATATATGTATGTATTTATTAGCCTAATAAATGTGTATTTACAAACCAGACACACGTAAGAATAAATACATGACACATAAAACTTGCTCTATATGACTCCTGGTATTAGAACAGATGAGAACACCTTGATTTCTCTCCTAGTCAACTTTAAGAAATGACGGAGAATTTTAAAAGTAAATATTTTACCATGTTCAAAAACTAGA